TCACTTGATAAACCGCAAATCTCCCCTCCAAATAAGCAAGAAAAAGAAATCTAATCCAAATTTGAAAAGACTGAAATTAGAACGGACTTCACCGAAATTTTGATTCAGCTCGCCAGAGAAACATTATGGAAAACATAAACGGAGATCGGTAAATGAATGAAGCAAACTTACGAGGAGACTAAATCCGGTGACGGTGGAGAGAGAAGTGGCAATGGCGGAGCCGGAGAGCGCGAGCTCGCCGAGATGGCCAACCATCATCGAGGAGTGACCTGAACCAAGTACTGTAACAGAGTCACCCCACCATCGGCCCGGCGAGGTAGCCTAGCTCCCTCGCCTCAGAAGTAAAATCACCGTAGCATCCCCTCACCGCCCCATCCTTCCTCTCCAGCAGCCCTTCCTCCATTTCCCTGAAATGCTTGCTGCCCTCCCTTCCTGCCTGCTGGCCTTCAGTATATACAGCGGTGGGGACGGAGAAAAGAAGAAGCGGTATGATGTGGCGCCGGACCATGCTATGTGTACTTCCCGAGCAGAATTCATCGTTCATTTCAAATAAAATAAATGGAAATTGACGTAGATATCACCCAATTCTAATACATTTATTTATCTTACACCTAAATTTTAATTTTTACACTTCAAACATTTATGAAAAAAAAAAATTATATTATTTCCATTTTTTTCATCATTAAAAAAAATATTTTAGGATTTGTTTGGGGGCAGCTGCAGCTTATTGAATAATCTGCTGATAAACTAAGTGCGATGATTATTATAAATTTTTATTTTTTTTTAGAAAAGTCAAAATACTACGCACCTACATAGGTGTGGTGTTGTTTTCAACGTTTTCAAAACACATAAACTGTCAAAATGCAGTTTACCCAAACAAGCCAGGTGAGTTTTCAAAACGTCACCGCGCCAAATAAGCTGCCCGAAACAAGCCCTTAGGGTCTGTTTTGGGGCAGCTGCAGCTTATCCAGCTTATGCTAATAAACAAATTATCCTGATAATCTGCTAGTAAGCAGCTGATCTGGATAAGCTGGTTGGCTGTTTGGTTTGTGTGTTTAGAAAACAGCTGATTCTGGATAAATGAGAATTCTGCCCCAGTTTTGGATAAACTGTTTAGCTGTTTGGTTTGTATGTTTTGTAAACAGATGATTTACAGATTTTCTTTAATTAAATGAACAATCAATCACTCAAAAGTTGTATTTTTCTCAACAAATGACAATGTATACGTGTTAAATATTTTAGAACCAATTAACCCTTTTCAGTCTAATTTGACACATACAGACCACCAAGAAATTCAAACATAACATTGATTTAGATGGAAAAGAACTGTTGAAGACTTCTGCTTATAGTGGTTGCAGTGCTTACAGTGATAAAGGGAAAGATAGGAAATTCAGAAACTTATGTAAAGTCTAAACTTCAATTTTTGTTATACTTTTCATCATTATCAAGTCAAAAATCAATAAATTATTTGAATAATTGAGTATGTAAAGATAAATTATTTGCTACTAACATTGGCTCAAAAGAGACGATAAGCCAATTTCTGGATATTGTATACTAAAAAACAAAATAGAAACAAGTAGGCACAAATTTAAGTGATGGGTGAATGCAAAGTTATGGCTCAATCTATATGTAAAATTATATGGGTAAAGCGCTCCTGAAGTTGTTTGATTTTTTAATTATAGTTGAGGATTGGTACATTAAAAGCTATTTTATCATTTATATTACCAAATACTCAATATGAGAAGGGCAATATGAGAAGACCATCCTTACATGCTCTCCTTGCTCTCCTTCACTTCAACTGTTGCTTTTGAGGTGGGGGCTTTGCCTGGCTTTGGGCAGAGGAGCTACGGACGTAGAGCAGAGGAGCGAAGGCGGAAGGTCTTCGCCTTGCTTTTGTTAGAGGAGCGACGGAGGAAGGGACATCACCTGACTTTCGGTAAAGGAGAGACGAACGTAGGGCAGAGGAGTGACAGAGGAAGGGGCTTCGCTTGGCTTTCGGTAGAGGAGCGATGGAGGAAGGGACATTGCATGGCTTTCGGCAGAGGAGCGACAGACGTAGGGTAGAGGAGCGACGGAGGAATGGGCTTCGCATGGCTTTTGGCAGAAGAGCGACGGAGGTCTTCACATGGCTTTCAGCAGGGAGGTAAAAGCTGGGAGCGAAGATTTCGGCGAGTGAGGGCAGGGAGGTAAAAGTTGGAGCGAACGCGGGTCGCGAACGCCGATCGCGGGTATAACCCCACGTCCGGCTTCTAACCAAAATACGAAACGCGGTTTTAGGATAATCACCCGAAACGTGCGAAACAAACGGTGAGGCGGCGTTTTTGAAAACGCCGTCGCATTTTTAACCTGTCCCAAACAGACCCTTAGCCATAAATAAGTAAATGTAAAAGAATCCAATGTTTGGAATGCAATAAGTTCCTCCAGAATAAATCTACTATAAAGAGTCATTTTGTCAATGAATCATTAACATAAAGAGCACTTAACTCCTCATGTTTTTATATATCTAACCTCAATTATTTTTATTTTTTTATCAGTTAAAAAATATAATCATTTTAATTTTTAAATGTTAATTTTGTAAATATATAAAAATTAAAAGGGATGCACGTAAATCTTCTTTTATTTATTTACTAGTCAATTAATAATTTTTTTTAAAAAATAAATTAATAATTTATATTTTAGAGATATATTATTTTCATTTAATAATTAGTTAAACATATTTGTATTTGTAGTCAATAGATTTACGGTCGGCTAGGGATAAGTGGAACATGGTAGCCGTCAAAATTGATGAGCCCGCCTATTTATATTCCATGCTTTTGGTGACGTGGACGTTGAACGCATGCGGGAACTATCCAGGAAACAATCATTTGTCTTGAAATCCAATTATATGACATAAATGACATCATGACTCATGATACGAATATTTTTTATTCTCTTTGTCAGATAACAATTTTAAAATATAGGAATCTAAATATTATATTAAAATTAAAATTTTAGAGAAATTCAGGGCATATTTGAGACAGCTTATTTAGTGCGATAGCGTTTTGAAAATGCACCAAGTCTGTTTGGGTAAATTGCATTTTGGCAGCTTATGTGTTTTCAAAATGCTGAAAACAGTGTTTTCGCATCGCACCTATATAGATGCAATGATAGTTTTCTGGCTGCGGTTTGGTTTAACCAAAAAAATAATAAATTTGTAATAGTCATCGCACCTGTCATATCAGCAGATTATTTTTAATCAACTTATCAGCAGGGCATTCAATAAGTTGTAGCTGCCCCAAACAAACCCTAAATTTGAGATTATCTGATCTCTGATTCAATAAACTTGTAATTCGTGTGGACACCTCATTGATGCAAAACTAGTGATGATAAAAATATTATGACATAAAAATGAACACAAATTCCAATATTTAAATAAAGTTATAAATTGCATGATAATAATTAATGTATCACATGTTCATAATCAAAATAAATATTTTGATGGGATGAATCTAATAATTCTAATTTAACACACTCACAATTAAATATTAAATGATCAAAAAATGATTAAAATAATTGATATGGCTATTTGATATTGTTAAAATAATATATAATTAAAATTTTTAGGCTTGTATTGTTAGAAATTCATGTTTGACATTTATGACACAAATTCAAAAAATATTTAATAGCCAAGATCTTTTAAATTCATGATTTTTACATATCTATAATAAAATAACGCATACATATATTCATGATGATAAAATTTGATCTTGAAGAGATGGAGTTTCTCTCTCTAATCCCTTGAAACTATCTATACTTTCTGATAGGGGAAATGTATGGGGTGTGTTAGGAAGAAAGACGACCCATTCTCTAAACTATGCTCTATTTAACAACCATCAATAAATAAGGTAACAAACCAATAGGATTTATGATAATTTCATAAATTAATTGATTTTTTATTTTTAAAATCAATGACATAAGTTAGTAACTTTTATTCATTTTAGGCATTACATGAGTTATAAAATTAATATCATAAGTTATCATAATTTATAACATAAGTTATGAGTTAAGATAATTAATAACTTAAGTTATCATGAGTTACAAAAATAAATGTCATAAGTTATCATAAGTTATGACATAAGTTATGAGTTAAGAAAATTAATAACTTAACTTATCAAAAAAAAGATCATAAATTGTCATAAGTTATGACATAAGTTATAACTTAAGTTATCAAAATAAATATCATAAGTTGTCATAATTTATGACATAAGTTATAATTTAAAAAAAATAATAACTTAAGTTATCAAAATAAATCTCATGTTTTTAAAATACATGTGAGCCACAAATAAAAATTTAACATTCTCCCACTTGGCTCACTTAATTTTAAAAGTGCATAACATACTGCATAAAATGTAAGTTAAATCTTTTTTTATATTAGTTAAATCATAAATTATTTAATAAGTATGAAATTAATTTGAATCATTGCGATTGTGCATCAATTTATCGACACAGTCCCTTCCATGTATCACAATATCAATTACATACTTAACACAATAAGAATTAACATCATGGTCCGATAATATTTATTAAAAGATAAATCTTGTTGAACATCATGCAACATAAAATGTACACTAACGATAAAAATTAGATTTAAATATAAGAAACAAGAAAGTTGAGCCCAAAGTGTCAAAATACAAAAAACATAAAACTAATAAAGGGTTTTGGTAATGCCCATTCTCACGATATATTCATTAAATGTCTTCGGTGGCAACCCTTTCGTTAAAGGATCTGCAATCATGAGATTGGTGCTAATATGTTCAATTAACACCCTATGTTTCTGAACTTCTTCTTTAACGACAAGGTATTTTAATTCCATGTATTTAGCACCTTTGGAATACTTGTTGTTTTTGGAAAAGAAGACTGCTGCAGAGTTATCACAATAAATTTTCTGTGGTTTGAAAATACTATCGACAATTCTAAGTCCTGAAATAAAATTCCGCAACCATAAACCCTGAATTACAACTTCAAAGCAAGCCAAAAATTCAACTTCCATAGTGAAAGCAGCTGTGATAGTCTACTTCACACTTTTCCATGAGATTGCTCCTTCAGCTAGAAGGAACATATAGCTAAATGATGATTTTCTGGTATCAACACATCCAACAAAGTCTGAATCTGAATATCCTATTACTTCAAGTTCTTTAGATCTTCTATAACTGAGCATGTGGTCCTTTGTTCTTTGTAGATACCTCAAAATTTTCTTTGCAGCTTTCCAATGATCTATTTCTGGATTACTTTGATACTTGCCCAGCATCCCAAAAACAAAGCTAATGTCTGGTTTGGTACAAGTCTGAGCATACATTAAGTTTCCTATTGACATTAAGCTTCCAACAATAGATGCATTAGGAATTTCTTCCAT